TGAATGTTTATCTTGTATCCTGCTACTCTGCTGAATCTTTCTATTAGTTCCAGTAGATTTCTCGTGGAGTCTTTAGGGTTTTCTGTGTATAGTATCATATCATCTGCAAACAGGGACAGTTTAACTTCTTCATTACCAATTTGGATGCCCTTTTTCTTCTTTTTTATTCCTCATATTGTTGGTTTCAAGATCATATTACTTCTTTTTTAGAAATGTCTAGCAAAGTCAGCCCTTCTTTTCCATCCTCCTTGTTCCTGTGTAAGGCAAGGTCCCCATCGTCTCTTGGTGGAACCATTGCAATACACTCGTCTTTGTACTTCTTCATGCCAATTTAACCCCAATCCCAGATCATTGTCATCTCCATTGGTTTTTACCCATGGCTGCACATTAGTCATTTGGGATTTTAAAACATACTGAGGCCTGGGCCCCATGCCCAGAAATGGATTTAATTGCCAGGGCAGAGCTCCAGCATCAGCATTTTTAAAAGTTTTCCAAAGGGTTCTACTGTGCATATCCAGCGATGACAACAGCTGCTCCACTTTGTCAGCATGGTTAGTTTTCAATAAAACATATCTGATATGTCATTCTACTGCTTCAGTATCTCTCTTAGCTCCAGGTCATTCGTTGGATTAATTCCAGACTCCTAGTTCAGCTTATAAGGCCTTCACAGTTGGATACTAACCACTTTTCCAGCATTATCTCTGGCTACTGCTTCTCCATACACTAACATGCCAGACAACAGGAATAGCTTGCCCCTCCTGGAACTCAGAATAAATCAACCAAACCAAACCCCTTGCTATTGAGTTGATTCCGATTCATAGCAACCCTGTAGGATAGAGTAGAACTGCCCCATAGGGTTTCCAAGGAGCAGCTGGTGGATTCAAACTGCCAGCCTTTTGGTTAGCAGCCGAGCTCTTAACCACTGTGCCACCAAGAGTCCAGAACTCAGAATGCCCCTTAATTATTCTATGCCTTTGCATATACGGTTTCTCTCACCTAGCAACCCCTTCAAGAGTATCACTTCTATTGTAAAACCTTTTCTGCTACACAGAATTTTACAGTTTGCCTTTGTACTTGTTTATCTTGCCCTGCTAGGACCACAGCTGTCCAATAGAACATGCTGTGATGATGAAAATGTTCTATACCTATGCTCTCCAATATGGTAATTACAAGGCACATGTGGCTTCTGAGTGCTGGAAATGTAGCTAGTGCAACTGAGGAAATGAATTGAATTTTTTAGTTTGAGGTGACTTTAATTAATGTAAATTTAAATAGGTACATGTGGATAGTGAATACCATACTAGACAGCACAGTTTTACACTTTGAGCCCCTCGAGGGCAGGGGCCAACTTTTCTTCTTATTTATATTCCACATGGCACAGAGTAGTGTGCATAAAAATTTGCTAAATGAATGAATGATGTAGGAAATTGTATGAAAAATCTTCGTCTTCTCTAGTTCACATACCTACACACACATACAAATAAAAGTCCTACATATGCATATAACACATACTATCACATTGGACTCTCACACAGATCTTATTACCCCATTTTCCAGATGAAGAAATTAAGGATTAGAGAAGTTAAGTGACTCAGACAAGTCATAATCATGAAAACCAAGATCCGCTTATGTTTCCCACTTAGCTTTAGTCACATTGTAAGCAGGATATTTCTTCTGATATTTTTAGTTCTGAGTCTCTAAAAATCTGAATCCCAGAGAGAATGCTCTATAACCTTACTCATTTTATGTAGTCAGTCTAGTCATTTCACGTTACCAGCAGTTGGCTTTTATCTTTTGGTCACTTAAGTGATGCCACTTCTTGTGTTTGGGGACTGTTGCTGGCTGGTACCAGGTTTCTTGTTTTAACTCCATTACCAAATCTGCCAAAGATTAGAGGTCACTGGATTGACCTATGACAGCTTTTTCTTCCACAGTGTTTTGAAGACTGGCTGTAAAGTTTGAGTCGCACTAGGTGGGATACATGATGATGTTATTAAAGCTGAAGTTAAGCAGACCACGGGTCTAGAAGAGGGAATGGCATTACGGTTCATCTAAGACCTTAATGCAGAATTGTCTTATAACCTGAAAGCTTTCTTGTGCAGAGTCTAAATTAGGGCACGGTTAGTAGGGGGAGGGGAGGGTAATTACATTTTTGGTGAATAGTGAATCTCAATTCTTATTTATAAGAAGTCTATTTGATAAAATTCTTATAGCTTCCTCACTCATTCTATTTCCTTTGCACCGTATTATGAACAGTTAGGTGATTTTACTTCAAGGGAACGTAAGGATTTTTGTTCAAATTATATTTCAGTCATTCACATAAATATCAGCCTCTATACCTTTCTCTTATCTTCAGAGGTGTGAACAAATACTATGCAGACGTGATCTGCTTGACCTTCTGTTGCTGCACTTTGGTGCAGGGAGAGTAACAGACGGAGAAGAGCTGGTTTTATGAAGGAACCAAAGAAGGCAAAATTGTTCTCGTTAACTTTGTTTACTAGAAGTCATCAACTTTACATTATTAATTCAGAAAGATTTATTAAGTGCCTCTTATAGAGCAGGGACATGAGTTAACAAGAGAAAGCATTGGTTAAACAGACCATTATAATAAAATGGAATTATACCCATATTAGGACAAGCACTCTGTGGAAACGCAGCAAATAACAGAGGCATCAAGCTCAAGAGAGGTTAGAGACAGCTTCTTGGAGGAAGTGACATTTATGCCTGAGTTATGTGGGATGAGTGAGACTTCCCTAGCTGAAGAGGGGGCAGAGCGATCCAATGGTAGGCAAGAGCTGTGCAAAGAGTGTATGGTGCATATGAGCATCTTTTGAAATCAGGAGTGGCAGGAAGGTGACCAGAAGACTAGGCAGAAGGCTACCAGAAGGCCAGGCAGGGGCCATAATCAGGAAGAGTCTTATGAGTATCTTTGGACACTTCAACTTGAACGTCTGGACCTTAGGAACCTAAGAAATTTTTAAGCAGGGATAAAACATGCATCTGGGAAACACGTGACATTCAGCATCCACATAAATTTTGAGATGCATCCCAATGTCAAAAATATTAAGATGTAGTGAGGGAGGCTACGTGGGAGTAGAAAAAATTTTGTAAATTTGCAGTTGTACAAGATTAGTTTGTCTTCCATATGGGTGGGTTTGTGGAAAGCAAATCCAAAGGCTTCTAGAAGGAGTCTTGAGAAGGCAAAACGCAGGACTCCAGGCGAGGTGCTCTTGTGTGGGCTAGTGAGTCTCCGGAGGGATATAGGAAAGAGAGTAGAAGGGATTTGATTGTTAGATGTGGTGGAAGAGGAGTATAAGGTCCTCCAAATTGGGACTTCATTAACTGGATGGATGGTAGTAACATTCATTGAGTGAAGGACCACAGAAGGAGAAGCAGGTTGGAGGAGAAGATGCTGCTGAAGGTGGCAGATATAATGCAGGGTCAAAGTCACAGGAAGAACACTGGAGAAGAGAACTATTTGAGAAGGACAGAAGGTCAGCCCTGCCAGATGGAACCAATGGTCCAAGTCAGAAGGGACTGAAAACTGAATGACCTTGTCTAGAGCGGTTTCAGTGATGTGCTGAGGACTGACATACATGTGGAAGTGAATAAGTGGAGACCCTGCGTGTAGACAACTCTTTTCGGAAGTTTCTTAAAGAGAGGAGAAAGAAGAGGGTAGTACCTGCAGGGGACATGGGGTTGAGAAAATAATTTGTTTATTTTGTTTCATAACTGAACAGAAGTTACAGGGTCTTACCAGAATCTCTTACTTAAACCTTATTTTAAAAAAAAACTATATTTCAGAACTTTAGATGCCTTTCTAGCTAGCAGTGAGTTAGTAGCAAGTTAGAAGTTCTTTGGAGGTAAGGATAGAAGCTTCTGGAAGCCAGCAAGTAGGAGTATACCAGGCTCGATTGTACCTGACAGAAACCTTTAAAGAGAAGACCCACAAAACAAAAATGACAACCTCATCACAGTGATCTGGGGGCTTTTTGTTATAAAGAGAATTAGCCCCTCCCAGCTTAGAAAGCTCTGAAGTCGTTGTAGTATAAAGCATGCAGTGATTATTGGAAGTATATGTATTTGATAAAGATTTCCATCGAAATGTGAAGGCAAAACAAGTTGTGAGCTAAAGCCATCAAGTGGTTTTCTAGAAAATTCACTTAATGGCACTATCATGTCCCCCAGTACCACCATGCAAGTGCAGCCACTTTTAAGTGTTTCTGCCCTCTTTTTGAATACCATGTAATTCTCCCCTTTTTATGAATGTCCTCCTCACCCCTAAATTTGTGTGCTTTCCTAATGGAACATGTCTTTACACTCAGGGACCATGTTAATTTACAGTGTATTTTGGTATTCCAGCAAGTGAAAAATGGGGAGGTAATACGACTTCTCTTTGTTTTACTCTGAAGAGATTTTTACTACCAGGTCCTTGACATCTTCCACCTTAGTTTATCTCTAATTTATCTTTAACTGGAACCATTTTGTCCATTAGCTCTATTCTAATCACCCCTCAAAATGGTCAGATTTACAAGCAACACATGACAGAGAAAACACGAAAAATCAGCCAGCCTCTCCTGACATTCGCCAGCAGCGTACGTCCAAACACTGGAAAAGTTTATTTGCTTTCTCTGAAGATGTGCTAAGTGATTGTGCAGTTTGAGTGGTATGGTCTTGTAGCACTTAGGCCTGCATTTATTTAATAAATTTGTTCTCTAACTCAAGTGTTAAGTATGTATTATGAAACCCCAAAGCCAATTTCGGTGATTGCAATGTGCAAATATTTTTTAAATTATGTAATTAAATAGGACTTGGCCTGCAAGGCCTTCTGAAGTAATTTATTAATTGAATAGTCTGATTTAATTGTATGTTGTTTTCGTTTGTCCAGGGAAGTGCCTATATCTCTTGCAGAGAGGGGAATCTCCCCTGTGCTTTAGCCCCCAGTTAAATATTAACCCAAAAGAGGCGACTTGCTCCTTTTGTCCCTAAAACTCTGGGTTGATGTCTCAGTCTGGTGAATTTAAAGGGGGGAGGGGGCAACTTGCTGGGTAGAATTATTTGTAATTCACTCTGTTTATCACTACATTATTTGAAAATGAATCACTCTAAAATCTCTATTTGTCTTAATTGTGCCAGTGTACACGGCCATATGAAGCATGTGAACAAAAAGAAAAACCCTTTTAATTCAATGCTAGCTACATCTAGCTATTGCTAAAGCCACGCCGTATCTGTTTCCTTCAAATGTCATTTTAAAGGTATTGTGGTTTCAGAGCAGCAGCTGTGACTGAAAAGTATGTAAACTAAGCTGTTCTTGCTCATATCATTTTTATATTCTTATGTCAGACCAGAAGGCTGCTTTAAATTTATTTTTTATTGTGTATTAGTTCTAGAGCCTGTTTTTTTTGTTTTGTTTTGTTTTGTATTTTTTTCTTCCTTGGGAACATATGTTCTTTGGGATGTGTTACACTCAAGCACTTAAGAAAATAACAATTGTAGGGGAAAAAAAAGATACCAAAATAGTTCCTTATTTGAGTATTGTAGTTGGGGAAAGATTACTTCAAAAAAAATTAACTTTCACCAAGTAGAATTTGGCGGCCTAGCATCTATGTTTTAGGAAAGAGAGAATGGAGACATACTGTACTAAGTCATGTGAAAGGCAGTAACTTTGAGCAGCCCAAATTGCATTCCCAAAAGGAAAATATTTTTCGTTGCTATTAAATATAGTTTATATTGCTACTTCAGAACTTTTTTTTTCTTCCAGTGGGGCCATTTACTTAAATTCTTAGTTAATATTTCTATATAGAAAAGTCTTTGTCTCTGGAGCCCGCCCCTGTGAATTCCCATTTAATATGCGGTTGTGGGTAAGTATTTATTCATACCATGCGGTACCCCACACCTGATCAGGTGGCAGCGTGGCGTCACGTCAGCCAGCAAAAATGTTTGAGTAACTTTTGAGTAATGGTGGCAGGGAAGGCATGGAGGGTTGAAGGAGACAATAGTAGAAACGTTTTTTTCTTTCCTCTACCCTTTCACCATGTGTAACGCCTGGTCTTTCCTGTGGACGTTTGGAATGCAGGATAGAAAAGTCCTCCTTTTTCTAAAAGGTTGTAAAAGCTGAGTAGAAAGTATGAACTCCTAGAATTTCCATGGTAAATATAATTTGATTACATGTTTTGGTCTTTCCCTTAGAGCTCAGGATTTCACTTGGAGAGTTGTTTCACAGTGATATGTATTTTTTGCCCCCCAGCTTTTGGAAACAAATTGAGCCCTAACAAGTTGCCCTAAGAAGGTTCCAGTGATTTGCCTCATTACTGCAGGCCCCCATGTGGGTGCCCAAGTGAGGAAGTAAATTGGGGAGGAAGGCGGATCCCTTGTGAGCCTGCTGATCTGATTGTCCCAGCTCTCCTGTCTCTTGCTGGGCCCTGTATGGGCCTGGCTGAGCCTGGGGACGTGGCCTCCTCCAGGGTGTGAACTGTCCTTGGCTGTCCTTGTGTCGTAGTCTTGGGAAAGGAACTGTCAGGAAAGCCGGATGAGGGTCATATTAGATACAGGTACAGCACAGGCATTGGCCAACCAAGGAGGGACCTAGCTATAGCACCAGAACAGAGCGCTGGGGGCCCCCTGCTGTGCCTTGGTGGATCCTGGGAAGATCAGGGTAGTGGCCCAGGGTGTACTCAGAAGACTTTTGGACAACGGACATTTCCCAGCCAGTACAAGATTATTTCAGTATTTTAACAACCTGCTCAGATGCATCACTGTGTATCAACTGAATGTCATCTCTGAGTGCCTCCTCATTTTACCAATCAGGAGACTGGGGTTAGGAGAGGGGAAGGAACTTACCCAATTCCAGCTGAGTTACTGGTGGCTCCAGGAATAGAACCACAGTCTCTTACCTTCTAAAGAAATGCTCTTTCAACTTCACTTTGCTGCCTCTTAACCAAGGTGTGGAAATCTCTCCTTTTCCACTTACTTTAAACCAGAGTTGATTAAAAGGAATTTTCTTAGAAGCAAAACTGAGAGGAAAAACAAACAAAACAAGATGCCTGGAGCACTGAAGTGGATGACTTTAGGGAAGGAAGTTAGCTTGTTTAGATTAGAGCTGCAGATGCACCGGGCTGGCACAGTTTATGGAACGCTTGTGACTAGTGCTTCCATTCTCCTGCCTCTTTGCTGTTCCAGGGACCCTGCTCCAAAATCTGTTTTACATGATTCACGTTTCCAGCTGCCATAATCTCTAGTCATTGCTTCTCCACGTTTGTTGGGAATTGGAAGCTCTTATCCCTGCTTAGGAACCCACCACCTGGATGACCTCAGAGTCACATGCTAAATCGATTCCCCTTGAGGGAGTGCGTTGACTAGACCCCTCAAAGTCACCTTTCAGCTCTCAAATGTTTTCCGTTCTTCTCTTTCCTCGGAATTTTTCTTCTTCTAAGCTATATTCCTCCACCTAAGAGTCTGGGTCACATAACTGGTGGAGAAGAAATCTGAATGTTCGTTACGATGTCTTAGTTTCTTAGTGCTGCTGTAACAGAAATACCACGAGTGGGTGGCTTTAATGAACAGAAGTATATTTTCTCACAGCTTAGGAGACTAGAAGTCTGAATTAAGGGCACTGGCTCTAGGGGAAGACTTTCTCTGTCCATTCTGGAGGAAAATCCTTGTCTCAGCTTCTCTAGTATTCTTCTCAGCGTTCCTTGAAGATCTCCACATGGAATCTATCTTCCCCCTACTTGTGCTTGCTTCTCTGTGTCTCATCTGCTCTTTTTATATCTCAGAAAGTGAATAGGTTTCAGACACACCCGATACTGATATGACCTCATTAACATATTAAGAAAACTTTAGTCCCAAATCGGATTACATCCACAGATACTAGGGTTAGGATTCAATCCATAACGTGACAATCTTTGTAGTGAATCCCCAAGCCTTTCTTTGGGGGAAGGCCTTGTCTTTTGTCTTTGGCAAACATTGGTCAGAGAACTTTTGGTAAAATAAATCTCCCACTTCCTACTTTGAATGAGGTTTGTGCCTTTCGTTTATTTTTATTATTACTGTTATTCTTACTGACAAAGTTTTATGGTGTGACTGGGTGCAGGTTCTATGGGCTTTTCCCCAGCCCCACTGAAGAAGCTCATGAAAGATTGTATGGCATGGAAAAGTGCCTTAGCAATTAAATACAAACCTGGTTCATATAAATTGGCTTGTTTCTATATGGAAAATATGAGCCCCCCATTTTTTTTTTTTAAATGGACCAGGTGTGGATTAGTTCACTGAACCTTTCACCCAGCTGTATTCCCGCTTGTAATTCTTCTGAGGCACAGTTTAGCCAAGTCAAAGAAACATGTTATTAAAGGTGAGCTGAAAGGCATTTAAAAAATAAACTGTTTAAGATCCCTAAATCAGTAACAGAATCTATATGCACAGACTTGAATAGTACAAGAAAGTGTGTTTCAATACCTTTGGGTTCCAGACTGGATTCTTCTCCTGCCTTCTTTGAAGATCTCCCCCAAAGTCCTTGTTGGTCATTGGCAGGACAAGCAGCCAACGCTGAGCTTGGATTGTAGCTCTTCTGTAGCTAATGGCTTGCCCTCCACGGAGGTAGGTAAGACCCCAATCTTAAATCTACAATTCTCCAGCCAATACTGAGGGAAGAAAGAAGTACTTTGATTTCATTTTAGAACCATAGTCTTAAGAAGTTGAAAGTCTGGTACGCATTCTCTTCTTTTTTCTAGCCTGTACCATGGCAGGTGAGGAGATACTATTAGCAACTTGTAGAGATGGCAGAAATGAGGTGTAGGCAGTTTTAGATTTACTTAAGTTATATTATCCTTGATCGTAATAACAGCGGTTATTGTTTCCTTATCACTCAGTAGGTGCCAGGCACTATTCTAAGCACTTTATCAGGTTAATGCATTTATTTCCCAAAACCAAATTATGTACTATTATTAAGCCCATTTTTTATAGATGATCACACTGAGCGACAGAGAACTAACTTGCCCGAGTTCACAAGGCCAGTAGGCAGCAGAGCTGAGATTTGAACTCCAGCCCTTGAATCTGTGCTCTCAAGCTCTGAATTGTGCTAGAATAAACGATCCAGTGCAGTATTACATAACACACAGTTCTAAATGAGACAGTCCGGGGTGGCATTAAGAAACCAAGATATTTGTCCTACAAAACCCTCAGCCTTGCCTGCGTGTCCATTTTCCCCTAACTTTCCACAGCTTTTCTGTTTTCTTTGTTTTTGTATCATGGCCTGTTTCCAGCTAAGGCATTGGTTTTCAGTCATTTGCACGCTAGTCCGCTGCTTGTCTCTTGATTATCTTAAACTTCCATTTTGATTGTGGAATTGTGCAAAGGCATTTTCCTATTTATATAGTAATTTCAAATAGGTGCAGGGAGGAAGAAGGACTTTAGGTCTGGGTCTTCCTGGCCCACGTTTATACCACATAAACAGCTCTTTCCAAGAGGAACTCAGAGCCCAAGTTCTTGATAGTGGATGCAGGGTCTTTTCAGAAACTTACACGTAGCTTGAAAGAATTACCCCCCACCTCTACCCGGCCTGCTTTACATGACAGCAAAGGGGGCAAGTTCAGACAACAGTTCCATCTCCTGCACTTTTGAGTAGCTTTGCTTCGCTGACAACCATATGCTGAGTTTGTCAAAGTCTGCAGCCGGTTGCAGCCACTCTGTTTTAGAAGCGTTAACTGGCTTTATTGGGGAAGCAGCGTCATATATGTGAACAGCCAGGCCAGGCTTCTGCCAAGGCCCTCTCCTCCTTAATCAGGTTGTTGGGGGACCCAGGGAAGCTCTGTTGTCATAAGGATTAAAAATCCCTTAACATCATTAGTAACTTAGCATTCTATAAGTAACAAAACCCTTCCTAGCAAAGGAGCCAAGAGGGTGGGCCACAGCTTGGGTCTAAATTATACGGGAGTTTCTGAGTGTGTTCTTCATAGGAGCTTCGAGAAGCGGTGAGCTTCAGAAGAGCCTAGCGTGGGGTCAAAGTTGAGAGTAGAAGGGAGCTGGAATCTGCAAATGTCAGGGAATTCAGGAAGAGAGGCATGGGAAAGGAAATGGGAAGAAAAGGTGCCAGGAAAAGTTGCCTCATCACTTGGTGTTTCTCTGGTGGCCAAAAGGTAAATTTCTACTTTTGAGTCACTTGCAAGCCCCGTCTGCACATAGCTGCCAAATGTTTGCAGTTTCAGGACTAATAAAGTAGGGACGTGTTTAATACTGGGAGAGCATTATTTTTAGGGAAGGATTGATTGTTGGAGGTTTTTCCTGACTATGTAAGTTGATTCATTCATGAGTGTCTTCTTTTCTGGGTCAATGTTCCCACAAGAAAATTTAGCTGTAGAGCCACTCAGATGCTTCTCTTGGTACCCTTGAGTGTTAGCCATTGTACATGTTGCAGCAGGAATGGAGGTACTGGAGTAAGATAAAATAGTATTTTTGTTCAACTCCCATTGTTATTCATGTATATTTATTGAGCACCTACCATGTGTAGCTACTGTTCTGTACTGGGATATAGCAAGCAAGACAGATATGTTTGGATATGTTGTCCCAAACTGAAATGCACAGTCAAAATTAACATGATTTGTCTTATCTGCTGCCTGAACTTGCCCCAAAAAGCCAAACAGAATCCGTTCAGCTGCAGATTGGAGTGGCCAGGAGCCAGATGTGGCCACTGGGAGAATATCTTTGAAAGCTTGTCATCTGGCTCCAGCTGTGCTAACCTAGCCCTGGTAGGCAGCCATGTGTTATGCCTGCCAACTGGGGGCCAGACACTAGTGCAGGCTTAAACAATTAGCGGATTCCCTCATCTGGTGGCTGGATTTGCTGTGTGTGTCCTACAAATTACCGCTGCTGTCCACACTGGGAGCCTCTGTGGTCCTGGGCAGAAACGCCCATAAGGGAACTGAAAGTCAGCCCCTCGAGAAACCAGGCAAAGCTTCCTTACCTGGAATGTGGAAAGGGATGCAGAGGAGATGGAAAACCAGTGTCAGGGAGAAAAAAAACAGAAGCAAACCAGACATGGCCCACATTGTGTGAAATCTTGATTCCAATCAAGAGCGTTTGCCCCGTCGAGAAGGGCTGCCTTCTAGCACGCCTCTGCAACAAAGCAAGTAGAGTTTGCCTGTGATGATGTCTTTTTTTCTTATTTTTTAAAAATTGTTGCCACTTTGTGAAAAGCACTTCTGACAACGTTTATTGATTTTACCCAAACAGAGGGTCTTAGTTACCTAGTGCTGCTTTAACAAAAATTACCCCAAGTAGATGGCTTTAAAGAGCAGAAATCTGTTATCTCACAGTTATAAAAGTTCAGATTGGGCTTGTGGCAACTTATTTGTGTGTCTCTCTCCTGGTTTCTGATTGCTTCCAACAAGCCTTGGCATTTCTCTGCGTGGTGTTCCCCTGTGTGTGTGTCTGTCTGTCTGTTTTGCTCTTTTTATAAGACACCACTTGGAAGTGATTGGGTTTAGGACCCACACTACTCTGATATAACCACATTAACATAACAAAGGAGAAGCCCTGTTTCCAAACAAGGTCATATTTACAGCTACAGGGGTTAGGACTTCCACATTTCTTATTGGGGGACACAATTCAATCCATAATACAGAGGGTTTCATTAATGTCTTAATGGATACTTAAAGATGAGACATAACTTTCAGATACCTGTTTTATTTGCCTGCCAAAATAAGTCTATAAATAAATAAAATGCTTCAGCACACCTGTGTGTCGAAGATTTTTTTATAAACTGTAGGGTTCCTGGTTTAACTTTTCCAGGCAGTCCCTGCTATCATACCGGAAGATAGTGATTTTGATCATCTGTGTAGTTGCCCAGTAAATGTTTGTAGAATGCGTTGAATAAGTAAAAATTCCCATGAGCTTGCTGACCTTCAAGGCTGATGATTGAATGAATACAGTTAAAAAAACCCACAAACACTAGTGCAGTTATTTCAAGTAATAAATGGGGGAGACAACCTACAATTTTGTGTCCCCCACCCCGAAAAAGTAAAGGTTTTAATTGGAATAATTTTAGGATTCTTTTTCAGATGCCCACATATAACAGAAAACACAAGATGGTAGAGATTAAGGTTTGGAAGGAGGCTTCTTTTGAGAGTGAACAGATATGTCCACGTGAGAAAATCTTTACCACAATGAGGCTCTTAGTGGTTTTTCAAATAAGTTCCACTCTGAATAAATGACAATGACAACAAAAACCCCGAAATAATCACTGAAGTGGGGAAAAATTTAAAGATCCTAGTTGATGTGTAAAAATCAACTTTTGCATTCTAACTGCATTGTGTAAATTTGCTGCACGGGAAGAATAAGCGAAGACATTTGGTTTTATGGCATTGGTGTGGGCTGGCTAAGGGGGTGGGGGAGAAAGTGGAGGCATTGATATAGTATGAGGAGAGCCAGATGGTTGCATTACACATCTTTTGTGTTCTTGTTTGCTTCTTAAAGCAGTTGCAGAATTTTGCCCTTGGCGATATTTTCTTCGTGCTTGTGTGTTCTGCTATGAATTTACTTTTGTCAGAGTCCTTTGAAAGAAAAGCCCTGCTCTTAAAGAAAAAAACAAAAAACAAAATTTTTTTTTCCTTACATTATAAACTTGTGAAATCAACAGGGTGTTCATAAAAATATTTTTTAAATGTTAAGTATGTTAGTAAATAACAGGAAGATCAGCTTTTCTTTTTTCTTAGCACAGTGATTTTAAACATTTTATGTCAATTCAGGGAAAAATTTGTATAAAAGTATGAATATTGGAATTGATGATGAGTGGGTAGGTAGATAAAGAGAACAGTTACACTGTTGTTACAGTATCGATGAGGTTTATCAGATTAGAAATTTAACTTTTTCCCTTACTCATAGCAGGTTCTCAGGTTGTACTTTACCTATTGTGTTTTGTCAACAAGTCTGAGTCGGTGGTAATATTTAAGTTAAGTGACAGCGGGTTTGGATAGGTTGATGGTTTTTGCCTGGGTGTATGGTTGATAATTAGAATTGCCTATCACACCACCATCAAAATTTATATTTATTTCCTCCTAGGAGCAAATTACATATTGAGATCTCCACAAAGCATATTTAAGGTGCCCTAAATGCATATAGGGAATGAGAGTTGATCACCGAATGCTTTTAATAAGGAATTATTTTAGAACTATTTTTTGGTGGTATGCATCAGAATAATTCAGTGTCCTTTCCACAGTCCCAGTTTATCTTTTCATTTTAACTTGCCCAAACAGGCGAAGAGCACAAATGTAGGGTCCTTGGGCAATGGTTTATTCTCCGGTTGTGCACACATTTCCAGTTTTAGTTGGAACCTACAGTCCTTGATGAGAAAACAGGAAACTTAGAGTCCTAACCTTATTGAAATCTTTGCCTGGCTTAGTCACAAGTCTGAGACGACTCCTTCCAATAATGAAGCCATTGTACGCATCATATCTGATCAGTTCTTGAAATGTTTTAGTAAGTCTATCTTACAACATTATAAGAAGATAATCAGCAGCCTTAGAAGGTCCCCATCTGGACTGTAGAGTTCTTTTACTGAAAGATGTTTTGCCTTTTTGAGATAGCTCTAGCGTTTCATCATCTGTTCCGCCGAGATGAAGTGCATATGAAAAGTCAGTGACTCTGAATCCATCTGTTGTTATTATTTTCCACTGATAATTGGCTTGAACAATGAAATGTCTGTGTCTGCAGCCTTTGAAACTGTACACCCTGTTTATTTTCTGGAGGTCTCACTGCAACTACTCCCCACCCCCCATTCTTCCCCCTTCCATTTTCTCTCGAGCTTACAGCAAGTGGTGCTCGTGTGAGGATGACATCTCTGACTCTCTGCATCACTATGTGTCACTCAGCATCTAAAGCTTGCGTACAGATTTTTGTCACAATCCCCATGTTTGTGCCGTGTGCTCCGGTATCCAGCACTCTCTCAGCCAGACTTAGCGGGGCCACAATGCATGAATCCCTTACCTGGAATGTCGTCTTTATTTCACTGCCCTCATTAAAATATTAATTTAGAGGACAGTATCTAATACCTATGGAATTAGATACTACCTATAATTGTATAATATATTCAGTTGCATCCAGGTTTGCACGATACAGGGCATTAATATTGGATTCCACTAACAGCACTTCCATTAGCTTGCTCAACCAGTATGAGATATAGATGAGCTGGGAAGCATAACTACCCGCCAGAACTGCCAAAACAGTCATTAGAAGCTCCATTGGGATGGACAAAGGCTTTTTCACAGTGATATACTGATTAAATTTTGTTCTATGGTTTATTTGCATCAAGGTTAGATCACTATCATCTATGAAGCGGATTATCTAACACCTTCTTTGAAAGGTCATTTCGAGTGAGCAATACATACATCTTTAGTTTCTTGTGGGAACCCCTCTTAGAGAACCTGTGGGTTTTTTTTTTTTTAAATATTGGGGGGCTTTGGGAATATTTTTATTATGTTTTTCTTTTCTCCAGGATATGCCATAATAGATGTTTGAGATGAATTTCTGTTTATGTGTTTGTAAAAATTTTAAACACTCTTCAGTAATGTTTTTTTTTTACTTTTGTGGCAGAACACTGTGGCCAGAAAAGAGAGTAGTGTTAATGAAACAAAGTTGCTTTTGAAATAGAAAGCCATCTTATTTCCCTTGGCTAGGATGATAGTGATGCATTCTCCGGGGCTATGAAGAATCTGTGTGACCTACCCTTTTTAGTCCAATTAAGAATGTAGACACATCCTATACAATAGCAGTGCTGGGTTTGCCCCCAAAGTACTATGTGGCATTAAAAAAAAGTAGACAACCATAATCTTATTTGTGTTTCAATCAAAATCATTTAATGCTGCAAAAGTTATTAAAAAATAAGTTACTAAGACCAACATGTAGCTGGAACCTGCAGTAAGAGGTCATTGTGAGCTGACTCCATAAGCTGGGAAAAGGCAGTAGGGAATTCCGAAGGCCCGCAGGCTTTCCTTCTTGCTTAAATTCCTGGGTTCTAAGGACAAATTACGTTGAAGTATGGCATATTTTCTGCCGAAATGGAGAAAATTGTTGACTGTAATTATGTTATTTAATTGAAATTATAAGTGGTTGAGGCCACACAGTTAAAAGCATCCTTTATCATATATGGGTAATGTTTTGAAATGAGTGTTCATGGATTAGTGACATTTGAAAGGCAGGCATTTGGGCTATATTTTTGGAAAACTCAAATTATTTTCCTTAAATGATTAGTGGGCTAAAATGTATAGTTAAGTAGCAGTTTTTTTTCTTTTGGTTTATTCTTCACTAGATTATGTGTGAGTAATGTGTACATGCGCATATATGCCTGTGTATATATGTATATAAATTTTATACAGGTATATATACCTGTATAAAATATATCTTTCTATAGATACAGACTCATAAGGATCAATTTATAATGTGGCAAAGCAGAGAAATGAGAGGTATATCTCTGACATTAAATTGTGACTAAACAATGTGATTATTTAAAACTCTTATTGAATGTACAGATTTAAATACAGCCCAAGGTAAAACTCCACTGATATTTGGTTCTTTTTGGAGTCGCTGGAAATACAACAATAGCACTTCTCCCCATGAGTAAGTTCTTAATTACTAATGAATGCAATTCATTTTAATTGTTATTATAGCAACATAACATTTAACTGTCTCCTGTTTAGTTGGTGTCCCCTGGAACAGGCGGTGCCTCCTGTCAGCTTGAGGACAGGTAGAAGGCACAGCAGGCGTCTGATTGAGCCAGTTATTCATTTGCTGAGTGTTTGTGTTTATGCAAAGGGGCCTCTTCCTGCATATTTAATCTAGAGTAAGGCAGTGGCTTTTGTTGTGTTTAGCCCACATACCTTCAGTCCTTCCTCACACTGCCGCCAGCCCCGGAGCCCTGAGAGCCAGCAGGCTTCCTAGCGCCTATAGTTTCTCCCTCGCAAACTCAACTTTTTCCATTGTGTGAAAATTGCTTCTCTGGCCCCAAAGCTTCACCTCCTCACCATGAATCGGTAAGTGTGTGCAAAGTGAAGGCTGCTACTTCTGTTTCCTTTTACTACTGTTTAGAGGCTACTTTGCTGCCCTTCTGGGCCCCTCCTGAATGTTCCCGACCGGTTGTCAGTTACAGGCTGCAATGAAATAGACATGCACAGGTGCTCTTAGGAGATGTGGCTGAATTTGGGACTGGCAGAGAGAGGATCCTGGGGATTGAGGAAAAGAAAAAAGAAGAAAAGGAGAGAGAGAGCAGCTTGATTATTCTTTGTCCTAACAAATCCTGTTTTGTAACTATCCTGCAGATAATGCTGCCATTGTTTGTTAAAAGCCTTCAAACAGCGTGCAAGACTGAACTATAAGAAAGCAGCGAAACTCTGCTGCTGTGTTGTGTCTTCCCGGCCCAGGTCCTCCCCGAAGGTCTGTGCCGGAATAGGAAGGGTTTTCTCCTGTGGAAATCGAATCGTCTCTTCATTGATATTAATAGCACACTAGAGATGTTGGCCATGATGCTCAGAGAGGCGGTTGGGAGGGAAGGAAATCTGATCTTGCTGGGGGGAGAACGACAGCCTCTTGGCCCCTCCGTGGAGAAGATGTCCATCCAGACTCAGCCGGCATAATGGCATCCTGGCTTAACTGCTCTAGGAATTTTAATCTTGAGCTGTTTGTTTTAGTATCTGGCTCTTGCTATTTTTTGTTCCTGTACTGTCTTTAGAAAGCACCGCATTCAACGTCTAATCCAGTCTTTTTAAAAAGTGAGTTTAAGGAAAAAAAAAAAAAGACTTAGATGGATGCAGTGTGCCTTTGGATCATTCTGGGGTGAGGTGGTAGAATTCTGTTTTATTTTTGAGGGCAGAGTGATGTAATTTCAAAACAAGAGTTGCCACAATTAAGAAGGGCGAAGCATCCAAGCAAGCTGTGTCCGATGTAGAGATTTTTCAGGGACTGGAAATTGTGCCCAGGGTCTAAAGAAGGAGTTTTTATTACCAGTTAACTGTTGGCTCTGTTTGAGTAACTCTTTTCAACAGAAGAGTGTGCTGTTCCCCCGCAGGTTGGAAACTGAGAATTTAAATAAAATTTCATCAACCTTATTAAAATATGTAGGGACTTGGGTCTTCTTGGGTACAAATCAGTCTAGAGACTCAGAAGCATTTATTAACAGTGAGGCTCCTGAAGGTTTTTAATAATAAAATTACAAATACTCGATCTAATTGTAAGTATATGACTTTTATACTCAGATTTTAAGGGGAAAAATACTTTTTTTTTTTATGAGGAAAAGTAACTCCATCAGAGCACCTTCTGTGATTAGCGCTATTGTATTCTTAAATTTTGATTGATAGAGATAATAGTTTTCACTTAAAAATACAGACAGGTACTTTAACTTTCCATGACAATAGCTATTTGCATTTCTTTTATCTTTTTGTTTAACATTTGTGGGGGTTGGGATGGATTTGATTATTAACTCTTATTGCACACTAAAGGTAAATCTAAAACAAAGGCTTTGTTAGCGCTTCAAAGGGAAAACAGCAAATATTGTTTTTAGGTTTCAACATTTAAAGACTGTTAAAGGATACCTATAAAATATTTTCATATGACCATGACCAGGGTTTTACTTTGCTGTAAGGTACGAGAGAGCCGTGCTTCCAAATGAGATGGGCCGACTTGGAGTTCCTGGGGGGCTGCCAGCCTGAAGTAATTTCACGTGCAAGCTTTGTGCTGGCGGTGCCGGCACCACATGGTTCGTCTTATTTATAGTGTTTCAGATCTTTGCTTACTAGAATGGACCCCAGAGTCAGACACGATGATTTGGTGAGAATCCCGAAGGGTGAGGAGAAAGGAAGCAAACTGTTAACAGGGTTAAGAGGGGAAATTGGGGACTGATAACCCCCAAAGTGGTAGATTTCTTTGATAGAGAGAAGTAAAAGAAACGTAGCAGTTGTAAATTAGAAAGCCTGGGTTGTGCCCAAGGTCTCTTCTGGTTACAGAGGCCTGGGCTGCACACCGATGTCCTTTTATTTCTTTCCTTCCTTCTTTCTTTTCTCTTTGCTTTCATTTTCTTCCCCTTTCTTTCCTTCCTTCCCTTTCTTTCTTTTCTTTTTTTAATCTTTCCTTCCCCTTTCTTTTTTCCCTTGTTTCCCTTCCTCCCGTCCTCCCTCTCTCTCCCTTTCTTTTCTTCCTTTCCTTCTTTCTCTCTTGCCCTCTTTCTTTCTTTTTTTCCTTCCCTCCCTCCTTTTTATTTTGTAAACCTTACTTAATATTTGAAGTTACTAGGGCATAGAGAAAACATGTTGCGATTGATTTCTGAGTGGATATTCTTGTTTTGAGTACAGAAAATGAAGTGACCCTTGCATTATCATTTTTTCAACTAGTCAGATACGTGTTGATATCCTGTTTTTCTAAGAAATCATTGAAAAACAAGACATAAAAGCCCACATGAGTGAAGATTCACTATTTAAAGAGGCACCAGTCTCTTGGAAATTAGCCCATTTGGACCTTCTGTTTTCTCAGATGAAAAATATGTCATTTGAATGGAGGATTTGGGAGGTTTGAAGTTTGAGCCATGTGCCTGGACTTCCAGAACAGGAGTCTTCTAGCCAGAGATAAAATACTAAACCACCACCCTTCACCATAGCCTAAGGGGGTGGCTTTGCGCATACTCAGTGATGCTGTGCATGGTGAGTTCTAGGCTAGCATTTGTTGGACTGAAGGTTGAGATGAAATAGGTCGACCATCCTTCAGAATCACTTGTATAATTGTATAAAATGAATATAATGCAGAAATCCTGATGCACATCATTTCCTTTAGCTGCCATGAAGGAAAAGGGAGAAGTAATTTCACTGGGGAAAATAGAGTATGTATTATTCATTTTCACACTCTGCATTTATCCGGAACTGATTTCCAACTAGGACATACCAGTTGGCGCTATATGTTATATATTACACAGATTAAATTAGGGGTAAAATATACCCCTAGAAAGTGTACACCGAAGTATTGTAATAACATAAAGGTTATATGGAATGAGTTACAAATTAGGAGGTGGGTTGGGGAGGTGGAGAAAGAGGAGTGTGCAGTAAACTTCCTACCCTAGAGGTTGCAGCTGAAGTTTGGCATCTTGGTCACGGTCATTGAGGTCATCATGAGCTTCTGGTAAATGATACTGTTGGAATCATAGTGCCATGGAACAATTCTAGTGTTCACACAACCTTCGCTATTACATAGAATTATGACATAAAGTAAAAATAGATAATTTCTTTTTTACCATATCCTTGGCACATTTTTGAAACCTAAAACCAATAGGAAAATTAAAAAATGAGAGCAAAAAAGAAAAAAAAATGCAATTCATGTGATAACAGCATTTTTTTAAAAGAAGGCAGGTGGGCTGGAAGGGAACATATTTCTTTTTATTTTTTTTTTAACTTAAAAGCCTTATATGATCATTTAATTTTAGTTTTGGTGTTTATACTGCAGTAAGCATTTAGGTAAATATTTGAAATAGGAAGATTTAATATATTTGATAAGTAAAAGTGATGGTTAAAAAAGGGATACAATTTTGAAAACCAAAGTTTTATGCTTTAAAAAAAAAAAGTAATGCAGATTTTTCTCCTAGCTGTTGATTTCCAATCCTCCTAAGCTAGTAATGATGCAAACTGAGGCCCCAGTACTAACCACTAATTTTCTTGTCTGTTATATTGACGCATTTCATTTAATTTAGCATGATGGCAAACAGCTGTTGAACTATTAATCTTTTCTCAGCAAAGCTAGAAAATATCTTTTCGATTACTTTGCTAAGGTATACTTATTCTAAAAACTAAAATCAACAGAAATAAATTAATGAGTGGTCAAATGTGCATATACATTAAAATTTATGGAACTTTGAAATAGAGGAAAATATGGTTTTTATCCCACTGCCAGATTTTTATATGTAGGTAAAAGTTACATGTAGCCAATTTTTTTATTGCTTTAGTAGTTGTAAGTTGGAAGGTAATTGTGTAATTTCATTATTATTAATTTGTATTTTTTTTCCAGGAAATAAAAATAACACTTGTAAAATCTTTGAGGGTGAACCAGATTATATTTTTGCTCTGTGTTCACTTACATACTGTCCTGGGCAGGTGAGTGGTAAAACCGGCCCAGTTCTTGCCTGCAAATTTTCTGTAGGTTCAAACACAGCGCTAGAGATAACGTATTCCAAGTAGGCATTTTCAGCAGTTTTTTAAAAATTAAATTTTAATAAGGTCCAATTGTTTGCCAGGCCTATATGATAGCAAATCTCATCTGCATTGCAAAGTCTAATACTATAGGTCTGGCTGCCAAACGTGCAAAAATAGACACAGCTCAATAGATAAACATGAACATTAGTTGAGTGCATGCATTGGAGAACATCTCAAGTAAAAAGGGGGGAGGAAGGGCATTCTTGCTTTGAACTGAGTAGGTTCTGCCAAAGTTCACTTACTTTACATTTAAGATTCGATAACTGGTGGAGCTGGAAATTTCTGGAGTAAGTGATATTGCTGTACTGTGTGTCTTCTGAGCTCTTATTTGTGGGGAGTGGGGCTGCTTTCTAGATCTTGCTCTGCCTTGAGTCCTGAAGCACATGACCGTCATTTCTCTTATGTTTTCCTTTCTTATCACTGTTTGCCCTGTAGTAGAGTTCTCACCCCTGGAGAAACCAATCCTGGGGACACACATCAGCAGTAAAGCACACGATTTTCATTTTCAATTTGAATTGTTTTGTGTAAAAACAAAAAGGTTTTGGGCAGGTTGCAAAACAGTAATTATAAGTCCCAGAGCTAGGGTTTTCCCCCACCCAAATAGTGAACATTTATGGTGAAAACCTCCAATTTCCTCTTACAGTAAACATGAAAATGATGATTTCACTCAGAGCCTACATTTTTTTTCCAATCTTAATGACAAGAATCTGCATACATTTCTGGTGGAAATGTCATAAATTGGCCTCGGATCAATTCCTTAAAGATAGTACTCACCAAAGTGCCACTTTCAGATTTTTAGCCCCAGTGAAATAAGATTTGACTCTTCTCAATGATATTTGCCTTTCCACATTCAGGGCAGAAGTAGCGGAATAAGCAGAGATAGATTCTGTATAAAATTAAAACCACTTCATTACATATTGTTTTGAAGAGCAAGCAAAGGAATATTAACATTTTAGTGAAAATGATGGTATACTTTCACCATCTAAAAAAAAAATTATATAAGCATTTGGTCAATTGATGTGGAATGAATCCTGCACCCTGTTAGTAACTTGATCCAAATTAATAAACAAATGTTTTTCTTTTCACTTGTGCCATATGTTGATCCCAGTTACTTGGGCAGAAAGAGGCAGCTTGTAATGTTTCTTAAAGGATTACACACTGTTTTGCATAAAGGAGTATGCAGATGCAGGAGTGGATGTGGGATCAAAACATGTGCCATGCTTTCTTTGTGTTTTAGGAAGCTTGATTTCAATTGTTTATTTCATCTGACACGAACCATTTTTATTTAACTTGGTAGATCTGGGAGATATATGCTAAGTGAAACAACATTCTGTGAACAGCTTTCACCAGCTATTAACCCTTCTCCCTAAACTCAAAATTGTGGTACTTTTATTCATTTTGAAAGGTCCACAGTGGCAGAAAGCATCTTGTCTACAAGAACTCTCTTCTAAAGGGGGAAAAATAAGCCTCCGCTTTAATGAAATTAGAGATGTTGTGGATGTTAACCAAACAGACACGTTCAAGTAGCAGTCTGGTTTCCAGAAACAAAGACCTATGAGTCACGTATTATTCCACTCGAAAATAAAATTGATAGAAGACAAGATGAGAAAAAGTTCATAAGCAAAACTTGAAATGTTTCACCTGTACTTTTTCCAGCCCGGTTGATGTTGTCTTGAAGAACTCAACAGCATTTGGCCTAGAAAGTAGAGGTCTTGGGACTTGTTTTTATTAACTCGGAAAGTCATTTGCCATGAGATATAATTGAGTTCCTTTGTTGTTTTGCTTTGTCTATCCCAGGCAGAGGTGGTTGCTGCTTCTCTTGACATTCAGATGTTCTCTTTTGTTTTCAGGGTAAGACGTGACCTTTTGAGGTGACTATAACTGAAGATTGCTTTACAGAAGCCAAAAAAGGTAAATGCTGCAAATATGATTAGTGGAATTGTATCTAGGACTGTATCATGTCGTCTTCTAGGCATTTTAATTCAGTTGTATTTTTTGTTTTCTTTTGCTCTCTGTTTGTCAAATGTACACGTATATATCTGTGTGTTAAGTATGTCTTAAAGGGAGACACTGCCCTTAAGAGATGGCCCACAGATACACATTTTGTTTCTCCAGATAATATCAAAATTTCCCCCTCTTTATTCAGCGAAGACTTGGTAGTTTTAAAGTTAGAAAGAATGTTCATATCACAGAAGTGGTGATTCATAAAATTAACTGCTGCAAACAAGAGTAACGCATGTCAGTGTTCTGTGCTGAAGTGGTGTCATCCAGTAGATGTTCATCTGGCGACTTTATAATCACCTTCTTTCAGAAATTAATAGTCAGGCTCCATGGCAACTCGCCACATTGATGTAACTGCCGAGTGGCATGGGGCAGATCCCTGTGATGTCAGCGCTGGGCTGCCTTGTTCTCTTGACCTTGCTTAACAATCAAATGAATGTTTGATTTTAAAATCGGAACTTTCAGAGACTCATGTAACTTGATGAATTAAAGCTAAATTTAATTTTCTCAAATTCACTTTTCGGGGTGGGCCAAAAAAAGCACTCTGGTTAAAACCGTCATGGATGCTGTCTATTTACTCGATTCCAAAAGTGTCCCTCTGGTGAAGGCAATGGTCACGTTAACCAAGTTAATCTGGCAGGTCAGTTGAAGATCTGATGGTTCTCAAATAGTATAGCGTCTTCATTTTATTTTTGACTTTTGACCTTTTAATAGTTTCCTTTGGTTTAGTAGATTTGTATCTATTTAAAGACCATGACAGCAATCGTAGTTAAACAAAGCCTTTGCCCAGATTTAACTAAATTAAAGTTCGTATATTTATAGGCTAATTGTCTTCTTACTATTTAGTTGAAAAAAGCTTTTTGTGGGGAGCTTTTATAATGTGAAGATTGTTAGCAGATCAGGTTTTCTTTTTTTTTTTCCCTCCCAATTTTAGTTTTAATCCTACCCAGGGTTTTTGTGTTCTAGAATGTATTATAAAGGTATGAATTTGTTTTTATAAGTACATTCTGGTACATTTGATTTGAGCCAAAAAAATCAGACTTGCCTCATTTCACCATCTATGTTGTTTAAATTAAACTTCCCATGAAGCACCTTATTGTCCTCCAAAGAGAGATTGTCCCTTTGGGATGGTCAGCATCTAAGGGGTTGACCACAGTGAGTGTTGATGTTATTAAGTCACAGCAGGACTTTTGGCAAAGCACTTCTGTTTGCTGAGACTCAGTTTTCCAATCTTAAAAATAAAAGAATTAGTCTGTATCAGAGGTTGGCAAACTCTTCCTGTAAAGGGCCAGATAGCAAATATTTTCTGCTTTGTGGTTCCTTCTGTCTTTGTTGCAGCTACTCAGCTCAGCTGTGATTTGCTGACCCCTGGTCTCTGTGACCCTCAGGGCCTTCTCAATCCAAGATGCTCTGCATTCTAAACCCTCCCGGGTGCTTGACTCATCTCGGGCTGTTAGCAAAGTTTTCAGATGAAGCTAAAAGTTACGAATAAACAATGCTGAAGAAGTCGTGGAAAAGACAAACAATTTGGTTTGAGAATTTCATTATCTCTGCAGTTACAGAAACTAATGGCTTCATTGATAGGTTTTATTGCTTTCTTTGGGATCACCTGTAAGCATTAATTATTTTTCTTCTGACTTGACGTCTTTATAATGACCCATGACCTGAAAATAGACAAGTTTGAATTTGTGCAATGTGAGTTTTCCCAATTCACAGTTACTGTTCAGAGTTAAAAATATCATGGATCAATGCTGAATTTGGAAAATAAAAGTTTCCAGGAATATATTGAGGCATTTCTGTTACTCACTCAGTGACCGCTATCGATGTTTGCTTAAATTCCATTTGATTCTATAACTGTGTAGATAGATCAAAAGGTAAGCTCTTGAAACACAGAGGACACTTTGTTCTTGTAATTTTTTGCTTACTGTGCGTGGTACGTGTTTCTGGTGGTCATCTGGAGCAGCAGCACCTTCTTTAAAGTATACGCATTAATTAGTGATTGTCCCGCCTGCCCCTCAGGTCCTCACTAATCCTCTCACCTGGACTTTTTCTCTCTTGTTCTAGTCATTGTTAAGAATGTGAGTGTTGAGGGCACACTGCCTAGGTTTGAATTTCCGCTTTGTCTTCCTCTGGCAATGAGGAATCCAATGAGCTAATCTATATAAGGCATTTAATGTGGTATCTGGCAAGTAGTGATTGATCAGTCATTTTTTATTTTCTGCGGCTAATGTTGTAGTTGTTGTTTTTATGATCTGGCTCACTAGGGTGACACTCTTGAGCAATTCTGTAACAGTTTGCCAGAAGGTTTGATTGAGAGAGGTATTCCACATAAATAAAACTGTTTTCTTTATAATCACTCTCAAAATATAATCTATTATACCAAAAAAAAAAAAAAAAAAAAAACCTTGCCATCTAGTCGATTCTGACTCATATTGACCCTATATGACATATCAGAACTGCCCCAGAGGATTTCCAAAGAGCAACCAAATACCTTTTGGTTAGCAGCTGAGCTCTTAACCACTGTGCCTCCAGTGCTCCACTATATTATACAGTATCCTGCAATTAAGGACCCCTGTAAAATTTGAGGGTCATAGAAATATTTTGTCATCTAGATGCCTGCTTTCATTACACAAAGAAAGCTGAGTAACGAATCCATCTAGTTTTTCTTTTTGCCTTGACTTCTAGGAAGCTCAGAGTAACTGTTTTTGCTCAATCTCTGTAGTTTTTTTGAACTTCAGCTTTTTGTTACTGTTATTTTTTTTAACATAATTTTTATTTTCTTATCCTCTATGAACATGTTATTACTTAACTTTTTTTTCTTTTACAGTATCCCTTCCATCTGTGTTTGACGCTCATTTCAAAGTCCTTTTGGAAATAGGGATATGTAGCCTCAAATAAATAATAAGCTATGTACAATTTTTACATTTACACAAGCCCAAGGAACTTTAAAAATGAATCCTTATCTATCTTGATGTAGATAAAGGTAAAAGCAGATTTGTTGAAAATATAAAATTTTATATATAT